TATTCACCTCATGACATCTGACATATTTTGGCTTATTCGTGTTGGGAAATGTTCTAGAATTATTTAAATTTATAACCATTATTATATATTCCAAAGAATCTGATTTCTTTTGGCAACAACCCAATAGTTACATATTCCCTTTCCAGATTTTTTGAGAATGACTTTGTTTTTACACACTGTAGTATTCATGTGCTTTCTTTTCACTTCAAGTAAAACTTACTTTTTTCATAAAAACACGTTTGTGTTGGGGTGGGGCAGTAGTTTTAGATTTAGTTTGGTAGATTTTGGCTATGCAGGTGATAAGAAACTTTCTGTGCAAAATGAAAGATAAAGAGGCTTTCCACATCAGGTCTTAGGTAACCAGATGTTGCTTGAAACAGAATAGATTTGTTGGATTGATGCTGCTTTGAGGCATTCAGCACAATGTTTATGTTCTCAGTTGACATAAAATAAAATCACTTTCCATAAGGGCAGGAACAGGAGGGTTGAAGGATAAAACTACTGATATTTAAGAGCATTTTCTATTTAATTGTTTGCATGTGACAGAACGTGTCAGCAGGGTGTATATTTTACTCGTGTAATACGTAGAACGAGGAGGATACCACAGAATGCTGGAAAATTGGAAGACATTGAAAAGCCTTTGTATCAGCATTGCATGTAAAGATTACTCTCCTTGGCATTAAAAAACAAATAACTTCTTACTAATTTTTTTTCCTGGAGGGGGTGAGGGTCTAGTTTTGCTGTCAGCCTCGCAGTCCAGGAGAGAACCATACCATTGTGCCTTAGCTAAGGGACATCTTGTCTTAAAAATCTCTTCCTAATTCCCTGATGAAGGGAAGGAGGGATATAACTGTGTGAAAGAAAATCCAGTGTTCATTTAGAGGAAGAAACAAGGTTATTGTTTTCTAGGCAATGGAGTGAATTGATGTTGCAATGTGAACAGTAGGTTAAATGATGACTAAGCATTCTTGTCTTCCTGTAGCTGGAGGAGGCACCAAGAGGATTTGCGCCGTCAATGAAACTACCAGCCGAGGACTGGGAGCCTAACTGCTTGTAGGAGTGAGTAAATACATGAGGGCACGCTTTCCTTTACAGTGTGTGAATAAAGGAGGGCTTACTATGTTCTGCCAAGCAGAGACCTTCAAGGCTGTTTCAATTCTTTGTTGTAATTCCACAGTACAAATTAACCTTTTTTTTTAAGTTGAGGAATTCATGTTCCCAGATGAAGCAGGATTTCTAAGCAATATAGCCATGGCCTAAAATGATACAAAGTATTTGTGCAGTTAAAGAAACGAAACAGAATTGTCTTAGATGCAAGAGTGATTAATGTTCTTTTGCTTTCTTTTAAGTTGGGCTGAGATTTTTCTTTTATTCTTTCACTCAAGTGCAGGCCTGGAAAGTTGAAAACATCCTCCTACCAGTACTTGTCCAGATAATATGTGGTCCAGGATCTGTTGGTGTGTATTTGTTCTCATGACCTGGAACGAATAATTTTTCTTTAAATTTCAGATGGTTAAACTTGGCATCTGTAAAGCTTATTATGTGGTCTCTGAATGCCAGTTTCATGTAAGTTTTCCTGGAGTGAAGTCTTGGACTGGTGCACAAACACTTTCCTGGTGTCAAAGAATAGCTACAGAATGGTTATCTCCTACCAAATTCTCCCCTCCAATGCTACTTTTTCTACCCTTATTTTATTTACACGTGTGGGGAAATAGGCTGAGATGTGTTATCACCAGCCTGAACACTGTGGAAACAAATGTTGAAAGTTACAGAGATAGTTTGAGGTGCTGCATACTCTGCTATTGAAACCATGCTGTGTTCGTTCAACTATGGAAATAAGAAGAGAAGAACAGCCTACTACTCTAACACCACCAGTGTGTTTAGCAGGGGCAAAGTTAAATGGCTTTGAAAGCACTTGTAGCTTTTTTCTCTAGCCAAAATTCACTCTTCTGCTTTTTTCTGCCTTCTTTGGCCTCAAAGGAATTGCCAGACTCATTGGCACAACATTAAGCTGTAATAAAAGGAAAAACCTTTGTATTTCGATGACAAGCATGTATTTCTTAGGCCCTTCCTCTATACTCCCTTCCTCTCTGAAGTCTCTTCTGTTGCAACCATGTAAGGGGATAGGATGGTAGTTGAAATTGATTCTTTTCCAACTGCCCCCCCCCTCACCCC